AGAGAGAGAGAGAGAGAATATATAGCTTGTAGTTGATATATTAGCATTATCCTCTAAATGATACAAATAGAGAAATATTTATAGTGTTACATGTGAAATGATGTCCACTGGATAAGGGGACATATGACCCAATCTCCTTAACCAAGACATCTTATTCTAGGCATCAATTTTAACTCCAATCGCTTGTAACGCATTAAATGTCCCTAAGAAGGGGATAGCCACCCTATATAACATATACTGACAAGACTGGCCTTTTTATTTATTACAAAAGTCCAATCAATCATTTCAAAAAGATTTCAAAAATTCAAGATCTTTAAATGTGGGTCGTCACCCTTCTTGATTGAGCTTTGGATCCTACTTTGGCAAAAGGGGCTTCGACAAGTCTGTTCCATAAAATAGCTTCGTTGAATGCCGACTTTGGTGCTTTGGATTTAGTGGTTTTTTGTTGATCCTATGCGCTCCACGTGGGAAGCCAAACGGCTTCGACAAAATGGGCTTAGGCGGGTCGACTGCAATCCTCATGGGACGCCAGGTAAGCCACGTGGGAGCTTTGGTGACGAAGCATAACAATTGTCCCCCAAGTCCATTTATGATTATTCATATCATGCGTGACTTCTATCTTGAGTAGAATTTCTTTGAGGCAGATTTTCTGTCATGGTTAGGTTATCGACAATAATTTGAATGTGTGCTTAACATGTCGATAAATAAATTTTTTCCTTCTATAGTAACTTATATTTTAAGATTTCTTAGTTTGGCAAATACATTTTATTATTCGGTATCATTTTCAAACTTGAATTTTCGGTTCACTACAACAATAAATTAAACCTTGTTCAAATATACTAATTTGATTTAATAATTAAACCAAAACACGATAATTAGAGTTACAAACAAGTAAATTTCTTATTTTAACTAGAAGATAATATTTATTATTAAAATAAACAATTTTTTTGTAATTAATCTAAAAAGTTAATTAAAAGTAACTTCTATTACTTCCTATGTAGCCAAACATGCTCTCAACTTGTTCAAAATATTCTCTCTCTGCCTTAATGATTAAACCCGAATATTGACATTGTAGAAGATTCTTACAATCAAAATTAATCAAAGAAGATTTCTTCTAATATAAAGTCAACTTGGTAGGAGTAAAAACTAACGGTTTTGCTACATGTATATCAAGTTTGACATTATTTTGAGGTGATCGTTTTTATACATTGATTTTAACAACATTTTAAATAATTAATGACACAAATTTTGACACATCTTAAAATGTCTA